TATTATATATATATATATATATGTATATATGAAAAATATATCAAAAATGCATGTGGGAACTCAAATGAAAGCTCTTGATGAGTCTAACATCAGGATGAGCTTATATTTTCAAAAATATCAATAGTTTATAAAGTACAGTGCAATTTAACAAAAGTCATTATTCAATAAAGCCTAATTTTATTTATTTATAGTTTTCAAGTCACGGCAGTCACATAGTGACTGCAAGGTTGCTATATATATTTGATATACTGTTAACTGCTAGTCACATGTGACTTTTGTAAAATAACAAATAAATAATTTAACTTACCTGAAATTTCCACAAACGTAATTCAATGTCATAAATATTATCTGCTATAAATGAATTTACATCAATTAATAACAAAATAAAAAAAGTATTGTCAGATAATATTTCTAAAAAATTTCACTATAAAATAATCTTACATTTTTTATTATTACTATCTAAAACGCTGTTAGCAATTTTAAGAACCTGGTGTATTTGTACGTCTCTCCAATCATCAGTCAACTCTCCGCGGGTATTATAAAAGAATTCATCAATAATTTTTCCCGATATATTTTTATAATTAACAAAATAATTTTTAACCTTTGTATCAAAATGTTCAGTTACATTATCCAGTCTTTTGTAAAACAAATTGTAGTCTTTCCAATAGTCCTCCCAAAATAATTCCGTAATATTTTGCTCGAAATAATTATCTACCCTCGGGTTGCGCTCCCGAAGATACCGGTTAGTAGATTTTAATTTTTCTAGTATGTTACTAACATTTTTCAATATTTTCAAGGAATGCGCTTCTAAAATTTTCGAGTCATTGCTCTGGAAGGTCACAAGCTTTTCAAAATTATCTATCAAGTCAATCGCTGCTTCTTCAACGTCCCCGATTTGCAGTCCCATCGAAATTGGTAAGTAAAGAAGGAAAATAAATTTTAAAAAATTAATCCCCATTTTTTTTATGATTTTAATTAGCTGAAGTTCAAAAATTGCACTTGAAATTTTTTTTTCAATAAAAAAAATTGGAAAAGTAGACAAGTATTTTGACCCGAACACGCTGATCACCAACGACCAACTAAACTAATATAAATGGGTTTTTTTTTTGTATTCTAAGGGGCCATTCATTAATTACGTAAGGACAATTTTGGTGACTTTTGACCCCCCCCCCTACCTCTTTATAAGTATATGTAAGATTTCTTGATCCCCCACTTCCCTTTCTTACGTAAGATTTTATCTTGATCTTCTAAATGATAAACTGATATTATTATTATTGTTAATTATTTTCATAAGGGCGTATAAAAAAATTTTTTTTTGTATACGCCCTTTTGGCTCCTAAGACAAAAAAATTTTAAAGCCCCATAAGCGCGTATAATTTTTTTTAGTCATAATTAATAATTAGCCTTAAAAAAAAAGTTATAAGATTAAAGTATTTTTTCAAAGTTTAGATTTACAAGCAATAGATATTTATTATTTTTTACTTTTAGAAGCAGAAGATAATGATAATGGAGACGGCATCGGAGTAGTGCCTAGCTAAATTGATATTTTTGTTTCTTTAATAAAATACTTATTCTCTTTAAATAATTATATATAAATATAAAATATATTTATTTTTTTCAAATAAAATGAGTAGAGAAGTCTATAGGTATAACTATTATAAATTTTCTTTTTTTTTAAGGCTAATAATTAATTATTATGATTAAAAAACTGATGCGTTCGCCCTTATGGCTTATTTAGAATTTTTTTGTCTTAAAAAAAGGATTTTGGTGCAGGTTAAAAATTGCAATTGTTATTAACAAAATAAGATGAAAAAAAGCAATTTTGAAAAAAGCTCGTTAAAGAGGAGGAAATTTCCAATAAAAAAATCGTCACTCCCGGAACTCTATCTCCATTATTTATAATTTTAATTAGACGTTGAAAATAGGGCTCCGCTGCTAAAGAGAGTTCAGCAATAAAAATAATTTTTTTATAACATAAAATGTGATTTTAAAAATTTGAAAAAATTATAGTATCTTCTTAACACTTGAAAGAATCGAGCCCTGGAGAAAAGAAAGTTTAATCACCATTTTTCAAAAAGTTATTCAATTGTTAACTAACAAATTTTTTCCCAACCTCCATTGGCATAAACAATGGGATGAAAGGTATAAATAATTGGCCTATAAATTTTAAACTTCGTGGAGCCCTTTTGATATATGTACTTAATAAGATCCTGCGGTAAATTTTCATAAAAGTTTATTAATTTGTTAATTATGATTTTTTATAACTATTGAAAAATTAAAAATCTAAAAAATGTTGATGAAAATTTTTTTTTTAATTAATATTTAGCTATGCTTGTTTTCACATCGAATGAGCCATCGCTCATATTTTTAGGACTTTTATCTCTATTTTTCACGTTTTTGAACTTGTTGACTAGACTATAAAGCTAAAAGAGCGTATACAAAAAAAAAAATATTATTTTTTCCCAGAAAAAAAAATTATTGAAACTGGGCCGTTTTTTCACTGACGAAACCTATGTAATACCTCTTAACGAATGGCCCCTAATGAAAACACAAAACCTATGACGACCTTGAGCGCAGTCGCGTCATCAAATGGTTCGTCTTCACTCTTAGTTAAATTAGGAATTACCAAATATTCAATGTCACATTAACTTGTTATAGACCTTGTTGTTGTTTTGAAAGAAACTGTCTGTAATTTTTTTAAATTGTCAACAGTTTCTTTTGAGTCGTCTTCGAAGTCACTTCGAGTAAAATAATATCATAAAAATGAATATCAAAATTTTACGGAGTTCTTTCACGGTAGTTAGCTTGCTGATTTATCTTCCGGCGATACAATCAGCAAATATTGAAGAAGCGGCCGTGGAATTAATAACTTGCTTTGAAAAATTGATAGCAAACAACAATCTCTGGAAAGAAAATTCTCTCAGTACTCTGAAAAATATCAAGGAATTGTTTTTTAATAAACTCAAATCCTATGATAGGTACAGAGACTCTTTGTTCGATGAAAATCGGCTGCCTCAAAAGTTTAGCGACGGCAAAATGACCGAGCAAGAGTCTGCTGACCATGACAAGTTTTGCGACGTGCTTCATGGAATTGATAAGATGTTCAATGGAGATGTGGAAAGATACTTGGATAATTATGAAGCGTATGCTGAAGATATTGACTCTTTTATAGAAGAGGTGGGTGGCTATTCTTTCGAGCAGGATTTAAAGTTCTTGGTTGCTGCTGTCTCGCAGAATCCTGGAAGTGGAAGCTTTGATGAGTTTAATGTCACTAGTTTATTTCTTCAATCGGAGGTAAGGATTGAAAAAATTATACGAATTTTTTTAAAGATATTCTGAGCTTAAAAATTATAAGAAATTTATTTTTTGATCTTGACGTTTTTAAAAAAAAACTTTTTTATCCTTTTTGCAAAATACGCTAACATTAGTAAGATTTTTGTATTAATTATAATTTTCTTTAGGTGGATATTGATGATAATTGTAATAAACCTTCGGTGTATGAAAGGTTGTTTAAATTTTATGAAAAAATTCTAATGGGAGTGTACCAAGGATACACTGCGATGTTTTTAGCTCATGAATATCAAAAAATTAAAGGCTCAGGTGATGGTAAGTTATCAATAGCTAATGTGGCTTCATATATTTTTCATATATACATATATATATAATGTATATTTTAAAGATATAAGCTCATCCCGATGTTATACTTATCAAGAGCTTTCGTTTGAGTACCCACATGCATTTTCATATATACATATATATGATATATATGATATATATATATATATATATATATATATATATATATATAT